CTGGAGTTTGTTTAAAGAAAGGGGATCTGGAGAAGATAAAGCAGAGAACTCAGCTATGCAGAGCTGATGATGCATTCCAAAAGATAATTGAAGAGCTGTACTGCTCTGCAGAGTGCTCTGTTCTATATTGTTATTATTTTTTCACTTAAGAAGCTTTTGAAGCACCAGAATCACATGCACCTATATTATATACAAACCTATGGGAACCAGCGGCCCATGTCTCTTTCTTGGAGCGAACAAATGACACTGATTCCCTGAGCAGAAATCCAGGCCTTTGCAAATGAACGTCTTCACTGCCCCATACTTGAACTGCTCGAAGCAGCCCTACACAGGCTACAACGTCTGAAGCGCCTGTTTTCTTTCCACCCCTGGATGCTTTCATAATTCTGGGAACACCGTGCTGAGAGGTGTCAGTGTGTCTGCTCAGGTGGATCTGAGGGAAAAGAGGTATGAGAGACAGATGGGAGCCTTAGAAAAATACTGATATAAAACAGCTGGATTACCAGAGCTAAAGGAGTTATAGACCCGAGTGTGACAGTACAAGTGCTGTGCCGCAGTATCCCAGAGAGCAGCCAGCCCTCTAGTTAAGTGAGGGTGATAGCAAACCTGAAATAACAGTTCGGACTGACAGAAAGCCTTATTTCTGCAACCTGGCAAACAAGCTAAATGTTTATGTACTACAAGCACTTTGAATACTTATTAAAAGAAGTAAAAAGAATAGAAATGCAAATGCTTTTGTTAGGCAACCAGCTTCCTTCCAGTGGGTAATTCAATCCTATTGCTCAGGAAGTGCCATTGGTTTCTTTTTCATTAGGTTTAGGGCACAGAGGGCATTTGGATTAATGAGAGGCAGAAATGGTGGGAAAATACTCTGTTATCCGTAGCCTTTGGTAAGCGTGGGTAATTAGTGAAACCTTCACAAGCAGTAGCTTTCATTTCATTGTAATTGCAAAATAATTATCTCATCTGGCAGGGATATCATCTGTGTTGATTAATGACATACAGGTAATATACAAAACACCTGCTTCAGAAGTATGTGAGCTAGCGTGGTTCCAAGTGAGTTGGTCAGCTGAATACCCCACAAGTAGGTGTACTGTACACGAAATAGCACTGTTTGCTGTTCATTTTAAGGGGGTGGAATTTGCCTCTTTGGGGCAGTTTTTGAGTGCTGCTGAGAATTTGTTGTCCTTATTGGTTTCAGAACCCATAAACTCACCCCCTGGAAATAAGAATCAAATCAGTTGGTTGTGGACCTTGTTATTAGGGATGAACTTTAGAATCTGTAACAAAACAAAACCAGTAACAACAACAAAAAACTTTCAGAGAAAGATGCGAGAATAGGAAAGGAAGAAACAATGATCTCCATAAAGATCCATAAAGAGTGAAGATGTTCCATTCACAGTTCTGCCACTGGTTTCCTCCAGCATTTCTCTGGATTTCTGCTTTACATCTCCAGTGTGGGCAGTGTTAATATTTCCTGCGTTTTGTCTTTTTAGGCAGCAAGCTCTTTGGGCAGAGCCTCCTGGGACACTTGTGTCACCAATAGTAACTTGAGGGCAGGAAGGTGTCTGGAGGCACGTTTTTGGAAAGAGGGACAGTCATTTCCTTTTCTTCTTCCCCCCCCACCCCCTCCCCCCTCTGTTTTTAAATTTTTTTTTATTTTTCTAAAGGAGCTCCACTTTAGTAACCAGGGAAGTTAATGCATTTTCTGAAGTTTAACTGTTAGTAGCTTAGTGTGTCAGTGGGCTCCATGGATTCCTCCTGATAGTCATCCCCTGTTGCAGTGGTTCTGCACATGTATCACTGTTTGCTGTTCTGTTGGTGCAGTTCAGTAGGGCAAGCTGAGGTCTGGAGCTGCATCTGCTGCTCTGGGAACGCCAAGCCTTGCATCTGATCTGGAATGCCAGTGAGCCCATATAAAGCTGTTAATGTCTGCTCGAGTGTTTTTTTTAGTCCTCATTACCAACCTAATAGAAAGATAATTCCTCAGCTGCTGTTCCAACCTGTGGGATTTTACCCACTTAATTAATTTTCTCTCTTGCTAAGAAAGCTCTTGTTTTAATGCAAAAGGAGCTGTGCCCTACTTGCTTTTGAGGGATTCTCATATCTATATCAAAGGCGGCGAGGCACAAAGACCCACTCTGCTCTTCTACCACCTCTTTGCACTGAAGTGTGAGCTTGTGCCATGACCCAAGGATAACAAACTGCTCTCCCACTGCCTTCTGGGAGTTCAAAATGCCAGCCTACTGCACCTCCCCAACCTGTCAGCATGTTGGCGAGCTGTCTTTGTAAATAAATACAGATATCAAACAATAAACAGATGCCTTTTTAACATACGCTGTTTCAGGCTGTAATGTTCCTTTCTGCTGCAGTTCGTCTCAGCATCTGTCAAGTCATTGCCAGCTCCACAGCTCCCTTTCAATTGTATTTAATGCACAAAGATTTGTGTTGTGGTGGGTATAAAATAGGATCAGGAGCTGGCTTGTTTTACATCTGTTTTCGTGTTACTTGTGATTTATAAAATGTGAAACATGAATGCTTCTGTGTTCCTTCCCATCTCTGTGTCAGGGGATAGTGCAAACTCTTGTTCCTTATGCTTGATCAAGTGGCTTTCTGCAAGGATGTGTATGATTACAGAAGTGTACTGGGATGTAAAAAAAAAGTCATTTGCAAAGCATATCACCATCAGAGCCCTAAAGTTAACAAACACCAAAGTGGGGGAAGAAGCTGTGAACCAGGGTCAGATGGAAAAAACAAACAAAACCCAATTCATTCCAGTCCTTATGTTGCAACAGACTGAAGAGGAAGGGCCCAAAGCCCCAGGGGTGCACCTCAGTGCAGTGCTGTGGGAGGATTGGCTGCTGGCTGCTGGGCTGGGTCAGGCTCTTATCTCTGCTAGTAGCCAGCAGGGGTTAGAGAGAATGTAAGAGCAGGGCAGCTAATCAGGAGAAATGCCATGTTAAGCTTCTGTTTGTTTTTGTTTTCATATTAAAAATGTATTGAGCCCAGATGACCCATAATCTATGGGGTTAAATCCTCTTTTGAGAATTTACCTATGTGGTTAAAGGAAGCATTGGGTTCCATAATGCTGCAGTCCCTTTCTGTCTCTCTCCTTCAGCCCCATAGAAAGTCCCTACTTTTTATTGTCCTCATCCACTTCTCACATATGCTGTTGGTTTTGCTGGAGGGAGATGCAAAGGAATCACACTAATTAACAAAAATTAGACTGTTTATGCAGGTGGCAAGTCCTGAAGACAGCTCTGTCAGGTTTTTGTGAGATCTGCTGAGAGAAAGGAGAATATTCCCTCTGTCTGAGATGCTCTAAATTGGATTAGATAGGAACACAGCCGTGCTAAGAGGGAAGACGCGATCCTCCACTGGAGCAGAGGATTTAGGCGATCCATAGTATCTCCTGTTTCCTAATGTTCCTTGAAGAGTGATGATTGAAATCTCTCATCTGAGCATGTATGCACACAAGACAAAATGCAGTGTTAGTGGCCCTAAATGTATTAGAGCTCTCTGCTCCTGATCACAGTGGTACATCACCTGGAATAGTAATAGGGAAAGAATGGGTTTTACCTACAAGGGCAGCACGGTTCTCTCCGTAATGGAAGGAGAAAATTGGTACTAAAAGTGGCTTTGAATGACATTTCTGATGTCTCTCAGTAGCTTGTGCACCTGCCTGTGACACTTCGTATATAATGGTTTCAGAGTGCGTTACAAACCTGAATAAATAAATCTTTCCTTTTTTCCCTGGCTGTCTCTGAAAGCTGGGAGGTACTGCCCAGTAACGTGTGTCTGAAAGGGCAAGGACCAAGTTCAGAAGGGTAGGGTTTTGTTGGGCAGCAGCCACTTTGTCCTCGTGTTGCTTTCTACACGCAAGCACTTGCACCTCTCAGACACTTTCACTTCCCCTTATAAGAAATCAGGATGTGGGCAGTGCATGTGTGTTTGAATTGCTGGTTTGTGCAGAGCAGGGAACAGACTTGTAAACAAACACCAACAGGAGGATGAAGCACAGCTGAAGTGTGAGCTCACTAGGGATGTGGGCAAGAGCAACCACACAAGTACTGCTTCAATGTTCCCTTGCTCAGACCACATACAAAATGAGCACCTGTGTTGTGGAGTTTTGGCTGCTGCCCTGCTTCAGTGTCCTGCAGGGCTGTGGGGAGTGCTTGCAGAAAGGATCTTGCCCCCAGCTTGTTGCCTTCACCCTGGGAGAGCTGTTGAGCACTGTGATGCAGTGGAGCAGACAGTGCTCCAAGGGGCACTTGCACAACTGCCATTGGCTTTGGGATGGTGGCAGGACTGGCTGTAGCAGAGAATTTTTGTTTTGAGAGAGGGCAAAGCAGTGATTTAAGCGGGGATGGAGAGGAAAGGAGCAATGCTACGAAATGGGTTTGCATGGCGCCAGCTTAACGTCTGAATTGGAGCTGTCAGGGAGAATGAGATGCAGGCTCAGTGCTGTTCTCTGGAGAGAAGCACTTACAGAGAAATTGCTCTGTTAAGCGCTGGCTCCACCTCTGCCCCAGGTCTGGCTGACTTCTGTAAGGGGAAGGCTGACAAGGGTAGCCTTCAGCCAACCTCCCTTCGCATTGGCCTTCTTTTCCTTTTTCCACGCTCTGATTTACCTTCTCTTGCTTGCTCACTGCTATCACCACCTGTGCATCTCCCACCAAACCCTTCTCCTCCTGGCTACATTGGTATCTTTACCCCATACTCCTGGCCTCTCTGCTCCTTCACCTTGCCCTCTTTTTCGTTCTCCTCTTGTTCTCTGCTCAGAGCCTTTCTCTATCCCATCTAAGTGGAATAAAAAGTAAGATTTGTCTTCCTAGAGTTGTCAGGGTTTTTGTCAGATGGTTCCCCTCACCGCGTTTAGATGTGCAGAAAAAACTTGATCTTTACCTGAATAGGAGGAACTGACTGAGACAAAGTCACAATCCTCCTTGGGCACAATATCCAGGTATGTGTCTTACGTGTGTCACTGATGTTTCCAACAGGTTGAGCAGCCTGGATTACTGCACTGGGGTCCTGGAGCAAGGAGACCAACTGATGTGTGTTTAGCACGGCCCAACTTGTGGTGACCAAACACTTCTCTGGAGGCCTGTCCCTCCGAGCAGCACACAGGTAAGAGGCAGCACTGCTGCTACTCGGACTGCTGCTGCTGAGCTCTGCCCTGGCTGGGGCTTGCTGCAGTGGGCTGAGCAGAGGATTTTTCTATTCATTTGGCACTGTCACCTCTGCTTGACATAACTGTAGAGGTGAAACTTTACATTGTGTTTACAGAGCAGGAAATGCTTTTCATCAATAACATACTTCAAGAGGAGCAAGACTGCTTGTATGGATAAGATAAAAATAGGTTAAAAGTGTGGGAGGAGTATACTGAAAAAAAAGAAAAATCTTACATATGTATAAGCTATTAATAAAGTAAAACTTAGACTTTTTGTTCTAAAATAACTTTATATTGAAGATTATCTTAACATAAACAGAAAGTTTTTTAAGAAAAGGAAGAAAGAAATGTATATGGGGGAAAGGGGTTAAGTAAGAAATGAATTTAATTGTTTACTTTTGGACCAGGGAAGACGTTTCAGGTCAACCAAAAGGGAAAAGAAAAACCAAACAGAAGAGCCCTGTAGTTCTGATTGCGATGACTCATGGAAACCAGATCTAGAAAAGTTGAGGCTCTTTAGTCCAAACCCTTAATCCCCTACTAGTATGAAACATTGTTCCCAATGGTGCCTACCAGTCCTGTTTTAAATGATCAGATTTTCCCTTGTCCCTTTGGGATACTGTTCCACAGTCTAATAGAATTAATCTGCTTACTTCTCTTTCAACCTCTGACCACTGCAGATGCAATTAGCAGTAGGCGATGGGAGGATTCTGTTTCCTATGCTGTATTATGAAGGGTTAGGGCTGTACTGTGTTAAACCAGACATCGGTAGCAAGCGTGCATGCAAGAGTGTGGCTTATCTGTCAGTACTCATTAGAGCCCCATAAACGTCTTTGAACTAGAATTCTCAGACTCATAGGAGCTTTTCTACAGTCGTAATTTAGGATCTGATAAGGCATGGGCTAATGTATTCGAATGCCTGTGAGAAAAAACAGTATGATTGGAAATTAAAATTAAATGTAGAGTCATATACTGCTTGTGCTAGAGACTCCGTTAGGCGATTGAAGTCTCTATTCCTGGAGCGTTCTCTAGCCTTTTGATTTCTCTTCTGAACAAACTGGTAGGGTCTGTATGATTTTTATTTTTATTTTTAATATGTCGGTGGTGACTGAGGAATGTGAATTTTAGGACTTGAATAAAAACTGTGGGCTGATGCTAACGGAAAGTCTCTAGCCAAATAGTCAGTTGAATATAAAGCCAAATAAATTAGAGATGAAAATTATAGCTGGTTTTAGTCTGTGTTTCCACTCATTACAAATCTGAGCTTTCTTCTGTGACGTTTCATCCGTTTTGCTCCTTAAATTTGGAAGTGTTCTAGCAGCAAGAACTGTCACTCAGCTTCTCAAACACATGGATGGGGTTTGAACCTGTTCATGCAGGGAGGCTCCAACACCAGCTGATCTGTACAGTCTGATGCTTGGATTCATCCACTGTAAAAGTGAATTAAAACACACAATCAAACTGGAAGCTATTGCAGTGTAGTTGCTGGTGGGTGTTTGACTGAGACTGCAATGTGAAGCAGGGCCAGGGGTTGTGAAGAGTCGGGCCAGCATTCCACATGGGCTTTATTCAGTGGTATTAAGGGAGAAGTTACAATCCTGCTCCTCCTCCCTTCCCATAAATCCCTGACTCAAATGTGCCGTAGCTTTTCTGGACTATTTCTTCAAATAGAAAGCCTCAGTATAAGCATATCCACTGGTCCCGCATTTCATTATTGAGATACGTTAATTAAACTTATTAAAATTTGACTGTATTTATCAGATCAAAATTTATTAAACTGAAGATTGAGTTAAAAAGCTTTGATGTGTTCTGTGAGTCCAGTGCTAATTTGCCCATTATTTTTAATTGGTTGAAATTCTTTTCAAGCTTGGTGGTTGGTTGCTTCATGTGGTTTTGTAACATACTTTAAAGGATGGGAAGGTGGTGAATGAAGCAGGGTGTAATGATCCATAACGACATATGTTCCCTGCCCCACCTTTGCCAGGCAAGCTTCATTCCTGTGAAAGTGTAAACCCAAGGCAAAAAACTACAGTTTCTCCTTCATTCTTCCCTTTTTCTGTTGCTTTATCTTGCTGCTCGCTTTTTAAAAGCACTGCATTAGCTGGGGGGCTGTGAAGTAAAAAGCATTCTTTAATACAGGTGCTGGTTGATAGTCCTTTCAAAAGCTGCATTTCTCAAGCTGGGAGCTATTGACCCCTTTCAGTGCAGTCACAAAGAAATCCAAGAGGAAATGGAGGGTGAGGACCGGCAGGGAATATATATATATATATAATTTCCCCCCCCCAGGTTGTCTTCTCACTCCACCTCCTGCCAGACTGGCTATTGTGTGAGACCCACATGGGATACCAGTCGCCATATAAGGAGAATTGCATCATGCTACATTCTTTCTAAAAATTGATTTTTTACAGTTGCCTTATATTTTTCTTCCTCCTGAAAGTTTTCCTGCTTTTGTGGAAGATCTGGTCTAAAGGAAAGCAGTAGATTCCAGAACTGTGTGTAGTGTCACGGTCTATGCAGAACTCGTGGGAGCAGGGAATTATCTTCTTGCACCCCCTTGTAACGGGGAGACAGTCTTCAGCATAGCTCTTTGTGGCTGCCAGCACTTCTGACTCAGCTGACTTTCCTTTAAGAACCAATTGATTCATCCGGTAATAATCTGCCTATTTTCCTATAAGAACCTGTTAAAAATCTGTTTAGCAACTGGTAATCTTGCAGACTTCTTAAAAAACAAAAACAAGCAAAACAAGGAGCAAACAAAAAGAATGTTCCCTCTTAGAAACAGCAGCATTTGGGGTTTCATTTGCCACGGTAATGTCCTGGAGTGGGTTTGCAGCAGGGGAGAAGGAGGAAAATACTTTCTATTAATGTTTTCTTTTGCAGAAAATTAGTTGCTTGGTATTAAGAACTGTGTATGCATTGGAAATCAACCTTTTTTTTTCCTTTCTGTAATGTTGAGACAGCACTTAGGCTGCCATTTTCTCAAAATGACATGTGGACTTTTTGAAAGATTTGTTTTTAAGAAGGCCTAGAAATTGGGGCTGCATTGACCAAAGGAAGGAGATAGCATATTTGGGAGGTTGCTAGGAAAAGCTGCGCTACTCTCATCCTTCTGCAAAATAAGTTCTCCTGGATAACCTTCTGTTGTGAAAAATTGGCCTTGTACTAAATGTATAATTGTGAGAGCTTCCTGAGATGCTTGAGTTTGCATCAAAATAGAGTGGAAATGCCCACATAGAAAAACACGGGAAAGCTTTCTTCACAAAATATAATTTGGTGCCTCCTAAATACTGCCCATTGTGATAGCAAAATGAGGTGGCACTGACTTGCTGGGTTCTCAAATTACCATTGAATTGGCTCATGATTTTTGGTGCTTACATGGTTGTCATTGGTCATTTGATTTGACGTGGTACAAATGCTCCTCGCTGATGCAAACTCAACCATGTCATGGGCAAGGTGCTTTGCCAAAGGATGGTTGAGTTTGCTTGTGTGCCAGGGAAGGGAGGCTGAGCTGCCTTCCAGCTCCATGCTGAGCCCTGGAATGACGGCTCTGTGCAAAGGGCTCTACGTCTCTTAGATTGAGCCCTCTAGAAGTAACGTGTGCTTTTGATTTGTGAAATAAGTGAAGCTGGGGACTTAGTTTTAGAGCTGTTGGAATTATTTTCCATCTGCAGAGATTTCTCAGGGAGCAGATACATAAGACGGGTGTATATGCGTGTATTGAAGCTTTTTTTTCGTTAGCTTTTGAATAAGAGCTAGGATCAGTAAAAAGTGCTAACTATTAAAATCTCGAGTATGGATAGTATTATCTTGTCAGAGATGCGGTGGGTTTTGACAGTTGTTCATACACTTCCTAGCCCTGCTCCTCACATTCTGACAGGCGGAAGCAGCTTGTTTCCTGTCTGCCTTTCTTTCTCATCTCTACAGGGATGGTAAGAGGTTGGACTTGGTGATCTTAGAGGTATTTTCCAACTTAAATGATTCTATGAATCTGTGATGAGAGCTGGTAAGTTTTCTATTGTAGAAAGTTGTGATTAAAGTATTTTATTTTGTGCAGAAACTGGCTTTGTGAAACTTTGCATTCATTTTCAAAGAAACCTGAAGATGAAAATGGTTGGGGTTTTTTTGGAGGGTTTATCTTTTTTTTTTTTTTCTTTTTTTTTCTTTTTTTTTCTTATTTCTGTTGCTAATTCTTTCTGTGACACAACAGGAATAAGCATGCAAAATATGAAAAACTTGAGCATGCTTGTGCTGGACAATTGGATAATTGGATGATTCTCGGTAGCACGTGGCAGGAGTGGGAAGATATAGACAAAAAGTAGTTGTGTGGTTGGACGATGTGGTGGGATATAGTGGCAATGCTTGGCCTGTATTTTAGCTTCCGTACCCAGCCTGTGGAAGTCTAGAGCCAAACTGAGCCCTGTCTGCAGCTATTTCTTTCCTGAGAAAGCAGAGCACAATGCTTCTAGGAGTGGACCAACCCCCCAGTAACACATACAAAAATAAATATGTTCCATAGCAGTTATGTTTAAGCAACATAAACTTCCATTTTTTTTAATTATTTGTGAAAGGTTTATTTTCACATCTTCCAACCACTCACTGGGTGTTAATTTTCAGACCTGCTGTAGCATTGGCTTGAAATGTCAAAATATCTAAGAGCTGTAATGGGCTCAGTCTTTCCTTGCTGTATAGCATGAAGCAGCCACTGAGTACAAGAGGGTAGGAGGAAGGTTCTTCTGGGAACTGCCTGTGCTGTAGTTGTCATCTTGAGCCTCTTCTGGCACTTTTCCCTGGAAACTGTTGATGACAGGATATTGCAGCTTGCGACTATCTGACCCCACTCATTTTCCCATGTTCTGCAGCAGGGCAAGTTATGGGGTTTGGGCATTCCTGCTGACTACCCATGTACACGTGATGCTCTACAAATGATGTATTTTGGGGCAGAATTTGTCACTGAGTC